GTAAAGGGAATAAGCTCTAAGCTTGCATCAGAAATGGGGCAGCTCTTAGGAATGAGCTAGTCTTTCATTCTCTCATCATAGACACTCCGTCTTTCTCCTTTTGCATTTTCTTCTCTTAAAAACAGCATTTTATGATTACTGAGAATATATGTTTCCTCTGAATTCAGGCTTGTCCTTCACCTTGACCTGTCCCAGCCTTCGAGTGGCTGACTGTACCTCAGATGTATCTCCTGACGCCTCCTTACTCCTTTATCCCCCCTTTCCTCTCTTTCCTAATTTCAGCTCCAAGAGGACTGATCCAGATTATCTTCTTGCACCATCCTCCCCAGCCCTGAGTCAGAGTTCTAGGTCCAGGTCTGGGTCTGGCTGCCTTCGGGTCCAGTGGTTCTCCTCCTCTGCGCTGTGGCTGGGTGATGAAAATCTGGCCGCACCCTTGCTTAGCTGGGCTGAAGGTGGGGCCTGAGTGGGTCCTGACGCAGTAGCTTAGGGAGAATGCTCCCTTCCTGAGAATAACAGTTGGCCAAACAAAGCATGTGCTTTGAAAGGTGTAGAACTTTGGCAGAAGTTTCCTGGGTAGGCACTCTCCCAAAGCTGCTATTTGCATACCTTTTAGTGGCACAGCCCTTTGGGTTGTTAAAGCATTTTTTTTTTTTTTTTTAATGTACTAATGATAGACTCCATTGGAAATTCACCGCCTTGGTCAGTGAGTCCAATCCCATGGAATGACAGCCATGTATTTGTGAGAAGGTAGATTAGAAGGACAGTGTTCTGAGCGAGAGTATTTTTGTTTGTTTGGTGCAGTCAACAGCTTGGTTGAGACAAAAGTTTTTATGCTCTTAACACAGGCAGTTGCAGCAAAGAAAATCCTCTCAGATTGCTGTGGATTTCCTATGTGAACCGTAGGGCACAGTGCACACCGATGTTCATGGTGTCCAGCTGATAATGAGATGGGCCCTCTGCTCAGCTATTGGTGCAACTTAGACAGGAGAACAGTTATAAATTCTCCATGACTTCTTCATGGCTAGTTTTGGGCTCGACAGTCATGTGGGATAAGCACATGGTCATCCAAGGCTTGCTCCAGGTCAAACAGTGAACATGGCATGTTTTTTGTTTGTTTGTTTTTGTTTTTTACCTTTAGCAGCTCATCTAGAGCAGAGATCTTCAAGATGAGGTACATACACCTCGGGACACAAATAGATTCCTAACAGTTGTGTAGGCATCTTGGAAAATTAAGTAAAGGAATCAATTTTTAGATTCTCAACTGCTATAGATACTCGTTCTTAGAATTGTTCAATCTGAAGATGGGCCTTTGATTCAGGTTCTAACCAACCCCTTCATAATTTTCCTTTTGCTACTTTACACCAGAGAAGCACAACCCCACCCCCAGGCATCCCAGATGTTACCACCCTGCTTTGCCCCGAAGACAAGAACTGTTTGCAGGCCAGACACGGCAGTGTAAACGCAGGTGCTAAGAACAGAGAGCACTCTACCTCTCAGACTCCACATCCCAGGGCCAGGTGGTTCCCAACTTTTTGCTTTCATCGCAATTGAGGAAGACTTATCAGATAGATCACTCAAAATGATTCTTGATGATGAATTCTATATTGCTTTTGGTATACAACTCAGGAGAAGTTCAAAGCATTGAGTGATATATAGAACAAATTCCTTCCATTCACAACTTGTTTTTTTCTGTGAATAGGTTTATTAGAATTTACAGTTTTAAGACACTAAAATGGAAGCAGGACAGTTGCTTGATCATTTCTTGACCAGATCTCCTTATTGATCTGGGCTAAATAAACTATTTGAGAAACCAAAAAGCCCAATTCATTCATTGTCAACTACATTTCCAGTAAAATTTCATTTGTAATGTGTTGAATAATTATTTATCAAAATTTAAATTTACTTGGTTTTGGTGGATTATATACTACTTCTCATCATAATGACAAATAAATTCAGGTGAAAAAAATTTAGGACTTAGAGATTTGTGATCATAGAAAATAAAAAGTAATTTATATACATATTTTTGTTGCAGAGAAGTATGGTAGGGTGATCAATATAAGATTTTCAAGTATAAAAATATATTGCACTATGATATGTAGGGGAGTGGAATGGAAATATGAATTCAAGAAGAAAAATGATATAAAATTTCTAGCTGTTAAAGAACTTGTGTGCATGAATTTTAAACTGATGGTGGTGAGAACCATCCTTATGATGGTTATGATGGTCCATTAGCTACATCTAAAATAGTGCTGTAGGGCACCTGGGTGGCTCAGTCGGTTGAGCATCCAACTCTTGACTATTGAGTGTCCAGCTCAGGTCATAATCTCAGGATCATAAGATTGAGCCCTGTGTTGGGCTCTGTGCTAAGTGGGGATTCTCCTTGAGATTCTCTCTTCCTCTCCCTCTGCCCTCTCCCTCTCATTCTCTCTCTCTCTTGCTCTCTCTCAAGTCAATCAATCGATCAATCTTTTAAAAATTTTAAAAAAATAGTGCTGCAACTGTTGTTATTTTCTAGGTCACCATGTACAATGTTCCAAATTATACTTTGCAACTATTTAAAGAGAAAATGAAAGTTTTTAGAGGTTAACTTGTAAAAAAAGAAGAGGGGGTGTGCATAATTTAAAAACCATTCCTAGGGGAGTATGAGAGCAGACATCTGCAGGCTGCCATGCTTAGGTGTCTACTGGGAGAAGAGATACATATTGGAATCAAAAAATTCCAATTCTACCACTTATTAGCTCTGTGATTTTGCACCAATTACTTAAATGGACCTAATTTGTTTTTTTGTTTTGTTTTGTTTTGTTTTTTACAACAGAATCAATACTTTCCTTACTAAATTGTGGTGAAGTAAGTGACTTGATGTGCACAGCACTCTTAGCAGAGGGTCCCGGATGTAATCAGCATCACTCTCTCTCCACTTCCCCCAAGGCTGTATGATCCTTCTTTCCATCTCCCTCTTTCTCCTTTCCTCTACCAACCCATGTGTATTGGCCTTATCTTATATCCTCTATTAAATATATTTGATTCACATTCTAAAGGTCCCAAAGTATCTTCTGTAAATTCATTCATCCAACACATTATATATATAAAGCACTAAATGTATTCCAGGCACTATTATAGCACTGGGGATAACTGTGAATAAAAAAAGACAAAATCCCTATTGTCACAGGGCTTACTAAGTGCATAATGATGAGGATGCATTGACGGCTCCCAATCAGCAAGGTCCTTTCACTCATGAGAGACTAGTTAGATTTCTGCGGATTGGTCCATCTGTCCACCCAACCATGCATCCAGCTGGCCAGCCATTCAATTACAAAATGTATTGAGAAACTCCTAAGTGTTAGGGCCATGATCAGGCCCTAACACTTCTTGTTCTGAAAGTGACCACAACAACACTCTATTTTAATAAAATCCCTTTTTGTACACCCCTTATCACAATATGTGTGGAGATTAATTGCATCATGTGTCTGTTTGGGGGTTAAATGCAAATGTCCCTGGTTTTCTTTAATTTTTGACTGTTTCCTATTTGTTTAAAATAACGAGTACCTTTTGAATGATTCAAGCCAGTATGTGTATTCCTTCCAAATCAATAATTTGTTTTATTGAGACTTGCTCCCAGAATGCAGCTTCAAAAAGTATTTAAAACGATGGATTTGGGGATAGAAAATGATCTGGGCACTCAGAGTGATTCTGCTTCTACTTGATTTTCAAACTGTATCATGGAAGGTGGTTCTACCACCTACTTGGAGAACTAGTCTCCCGTAAATACAGCATTGAGTTAGTTTATCCAGATTTTATCCAGAAATTTAAAAATAGCTCCAACACTCCCAGTTTTCCTCTCTCTACCCAATTCTCATTGGTACAGGTCTTCAGAGAAGCCAGAGTTTTTAAGATGAGGCATTTCAATTTCAAGACACTTCAATTTCAAGACATTCCTTTAAGCCAGAGATCTTTTATCAAAGATACAGAGTGCTTGGAGTCAAATTCTTTTTTCTTTCTTTTATTGAGATAAAGTTCACAAAATAAAATTCACTGTTTGAACCCTTTTAAAGTTTATAATTCAGTGGTTTTTAGTATATTCATAATGTTGCACAACCATTACCGCTAATTCCAGAACATTCCATCACCTCAAGAAGAAACCCGGTACCTCCCAATTCTCTCCTCCTCCAACCCCTGACAATTACTACTCTATTTTCTGTCTTCATGGATTTGCCTATTCTGGGTTTTTCATATACATGATACCATGTAATATGTGACTTCTTTCACTTAATATAATGTTTTCAAGGTTCATCTATGTATCAGTACTTCATTCATTTTTATGGCCAAATCCATTGTGTGGATGTAGCACATTTTGCTTGCCCATTCATCAGTTGATGGACGTTTGGACATTTTTGGCTGCTATGATTATTTATATACAAGTTTATGCATGAACATAGTGTCACTTCTCATGGTATATACCTAGGAGTGGAATTGCTAGATCATATGGTAATTCTGTGTTTACTTTTTGAGGAACTGCCAAAATGTTTTCCATAGCAGTGGTACCATTTTATATAAAAATATTTTTATATGTATTTGCTGTTTGTGTGCAAAGTGTGTCTTTCTATACTAAAGGGTTCCTTTCCTAGTTTCAAAAAGTAAAAAACAAAAACAAAAAAACTCAAGTGAATTTTAACTTGGATTTTCAAGGGCAAATGTTATGTAGTAGAAAATACCACATAACAAAATGAGACAATAACTTTTATATGAGCATTATATACACCTCTCTTTCATTTCTCAAAAATATATTTATGACATAACTGGAAATTATTTTTATTTCTAAGAATGAAATTGATATTTATTCAGTTTAATCATCACTAAGATTCTTATAAAAAAATTGAATTCCCCTTTTAGGAAATATTTCCGTTACTATGAATGATGAAAGTCATTGTTTTCAACATTATAATGCATGTTGTGTTTTAAGAGATATACTTATATTTAATATATATAAACTTTAAACCCAGGGCATAGAACCTCTCTTATAAGTCAGAGTCTTCTGGAAGAGAAGAGAAACCTGACAGAATTTTTTTTAAGTACCAAGACTTGAAGTAATCCATGCACATGGCGTCAATAAGGTGCTCATTCAGGTGGATCAAGCCCTTGGCCGCAGATCCCTGGTGAGTGTCCTTAGTGTGATCACTTGCTTTTATTCAATAATTTTTCCTAAACGTTGGTTTTATAGTTATGAATTGTCTGAATGTTTCATGTGTCAAAAAGCCAAATTGTTCCAGAAATCTGTGCGTTATGACTGCTTTTTTTTTGTGATTCATTTTTATTAAACACCAATACTCTCCTTGAATTACACTCCCATCATCACCAATGGAAAAGACACTCATCTAAAGGCTGTGGATTCTTGCTCTATTACTAGGTTTGAAGAGCAAATCCTTCCTAATGTCCAGAGCAGCAGGGGCCCTCTAACTAGCAGAGTTAGGACAGGGCGCTTCAGGGGTATGGTAGGCAAAATAACAGCCCCTGAGGAGGTCCACATCTTAATCCCTGGATCCTGAGAATATGTTCTGTTACATGGCAACAGGGAATTATGCTTGTGGATGACATTAAGTTTGCTCATCAGCTGACCTTGGGGAGATTATTCTGCATTATCTGGGTGGGCCCAGTATAATCACAAGGATCCTTAAAAGTGAAAGAGGGGGAAGGAGAGTGAGAGGCAAAGAAGGAGATGGGACAATGGAAGCAGAGGTCAGAGGGATAGACAGACTCGACTGGCTATTGCTGGCTCTGAAGATGGAAGAGACCATCTGAACTACTTAACTCTTCCCTAACACGTTCATATTATTTTCCTTCCCTTCCAAACCATCTCCCCAGTCCAGATAGGTTTTCTTCCCTCCTCCCTCCTTCCAGCTGGTTCACTTAATGTCATTCAGGGTACACTGGTCTTTGCACTGTCTCTGAACACAGCTGCCTCCTTCCCTCACTCCTCTGCATTTCATTCAGAGAGTCGTCTCCCTTCCCTCAGCTACCCATCTGGGTCTCGCCTTCAGAGTGTCCCCAGGGTCCCAGGCACAGTGAGGATCCCATTAAAGGGCTGTGAGTACTTCTTGACTGATTAGCAAGAGGGAAGGTAATGATGACAGCCAGAGAGGGGATAACATTTATCTTGTCACTGATGACAGCGGCCTATTAGAAATAAAAAGAAGCTTTCTGGGATTTATTCCTTTGTTCTTTCTCTTTTTAGTTTGTTTTGCATGAAAATGAACAGTTTAAATTAATCTGCATTTTTGCTGTTTCATAGGTCACTTATACTTATCCTCTTTTCTGTACAACATGTATATGGGGTAAGTACATTAATTAGCTCTGACTGCATGCATTACTCTCGTTATAAACCTTTTTGTTTCAAGCAAGCCACTCTGTGGGACTCAGTTTTCTTATCTGCAAAATGAAGGGTTGGATTAGGTGAACTCTGGGATTTCTTTTCTATTTTACAGTCAAGACTCCTTAAAAATTACCCAGGTATTGGAGATTTCTTTATTTGATAACATAATCTTTTGTTAAAATCTTTTTTTTGGAGAGGGGCAGGAAGCAGTTGGGCCACTTCAAGATTAAATCAAGAAATATAAGATTAAATGTGAACATTTTAACTCTGGAGAAAGATAAGCCTAGAATATTCTGTAATAAGATCTCCTTCTTCTGCTTCCTCACTGAGGAATCTGAGTTATTAAACCCAACCCCAGACATTTCTGGGAAATTACACCACAGACCGCCTGTAACACGGGTAGACCTTGAGACAACGGAACTGGTTCAATCACTATTGAGCACATCTGCATCTGTCCATCCTCTCTAGCTTGGATTTATCCAATCCAATTTCTGTATTATTTAAGTTAATAACATAGGTCTTTTCAAAGCAAATCAAAATAGAAAGTTGCCTTCTATTCTCCTTTTCCTACCAGTCAGGAACAGAAAGCACACATGTCAAGGAATGAGAAGCTCTCCCCAATTAGGGATAGTCAGACTTGCTTCACTTAGTTCACATGCCTTTAAGAGCATCATCTGAAATAATGAATGGAAACACATTGAAATATATATGCCTGGATTTTTTTTTACCTGATTCTTCCAAGTTTATTTTCTGTATTATATTCTTTTTTTTTCTCCCATTATAAGAGTCTAGAGAGTCTTAAATTTCACTGCCTTTGTTTCTTATGTTCCATATGAGTGAATATAATTCTTGAACCTGACTGTTCTAGCCTGGATCCTCTTAGCAAATTGTACTATGCAGAGGTTTTAAAGATTTCTCACAAAAAGTAGCTTATACTATAGTTGGGTTTTAAAGGTAGTGATGTAAATCAATGCAGTACCTGTGGAAGGCAACTTGGCATTATCCGCCCAAATTGCTGTCAATCCTGTTGACACAGGGATTTCCCGTTTTGGAATTTATCATACGTATTTATACTGACTTGGGCATAAAGAAAATGCACAAGAATACTGGTTGCAGGGGAGTGTTCAGTAACAAAAGAAGGGAGATAGCTAAACACCCATCAAGAAGAACTAGTTAAACAAGCTATTGTACTTCATCCGATGGAGAGCTGTTCTGTTAACCTGGAATGACTGTGAAGGTATCTGATTAAGAGAAAACAGAAAGGTACAGAGAAATATACCATTTGGGTAAAAATAAAACAAGACGAAAAACAAACAAACAAAAAAAAAACAAGACGAAAATCACAAAAGAGTGCATGTGTGTGTGTGTGTACGTGTGCCTGGGTGTACATGTGAGTACATGTGTGTATGTCTGCATGTGCGTGCATGTACATGTATGTGCGTGTGCATGTACGTGCTCGTATGTGATCATGGCGTGAGCATGCTCATAGCTATCCAGACCCTGAGTGAGAACAGTGACTACCTCTCGGTGAGGGAACAGGGAGCCTGGGTTGGAAAAGACAATTTCTTTTTCCATTATACTTTTGCCCTATTTGAATTTTTAATTATGTGCAAATGTTTTTCAAAAAAAATCGAGGTAGACCTGTAGGACTGGTTATTAATCTAGAAATTAAGAACTTCTTAAATTTTTTATTCAACATACGTTTGTTTAAAAATATCTGAGATAAAAACGGATGGGTATTTTTCTGGTTTCCTCTTTGAGGAGTAGTAACATTAGTTTTTGAGAATGCCAGTGTATTGCTGGTGAATATGGTTTATACTTTGAATGTTTCCTTGTCTAAGATAAGGTCATTATCTTTGTCAAATGGGTTTATATGATCTGTTTTTGAGGAACAGCTTCTTCCATTACAAATGCCTACCCCTTTTAAGGTGGCATTTATTGAGAAATGTCTAATGTAGAAGAACTTCAGAGACTAAAATTACCTCTTGCCTTTTTCTCTTATCAGTACTAGTCAAAGCTTTATATGTGACTATTTCTGTTTCTTTATTATAATCTGCTAATTTATCTTAAACTGATTCTTTCCTGAAATGTAATTTTGCTGCAAACATCTCTGTGATGCTTGGCACAATTAAGTAAAAAACAAAACAAAACAAAACAAAAAACAAACTTGCCTTTATTATCAAGCCAGCTAATCAACGACCTTCTTTATCTGGTTGTTTTGATATCTCACTGAACACATAGTAATGAATCCCAACCTTAAGTGAACCCAAGTGTTCAGACTAGTTATTTTAAGTGTTTTCATGCTGTCCCGGACCTGGGCATTTCATTTTTTTTCACCTTATCAGGGTTTTGAACTTGATGTTTCTGCATTCATAGATAACAATGTGACTCAAAACTCAAGAGGCATATATTTCTGAAACTTCAAATACATTTTTTTAACTTAACTCTTGTCAAGGTTCACATTCTTATATACTTTCAATGACCCTAAGGAGTTTTGTTTATAATAATGTTTTTTTATTAATGCTTAATTTAAAGATTTTTTTTATTGCATCTGAGCATATTTTTCTAGAAAAAAGAGGTCTAAATTATGTGATTAAAAAAAAAATTTTGGATAGACTCTTTTCCCTCCCATACACATATTCGTATACATGTGTATGTGTACATGTGTGTATTCATATGTACACATAGTCAGATGTAATTTACATTTATACTTATGCACATAGGTGTGTATGTATGTATAGAGGTCTTCCATCAGAACTATAACTATTGGTTCGAATGTTTTATGTTCCCTGTCATACTTTGGCGTAAAGGCTTAAATTTACAGCCTTGAGTGTAAAAGCTCTGTCAATCATAGAGATGTGTGGTTAATACCTAAGCATTGCAGTGAGGGCTGGACCAGGCAAGATCATGAACTAGGCCAAATTTATCCCTGGTGCCCTTCTGATATTCCTATCCATGTTCTCAGCTCCTAGCACCTGGAGCTGCTTTTGCTACCCCCTCCCTCCCAACCCACAGCCCCAGGCTCTGAAGGAATGCTCAGTGTCCATTGTCAGCGCAGGTGCGTCATGGTGGCTGTTTTGTTGTTAAGGTGTCTACTTATGGAAATAGTTACTCTGGGATTATGCTTTTGTACCGAAGTGACAGATGACTCTGGATACAGACCATGAGGATTTGTGAGAACAAGGGGCTGATTCTTCCCAAAAGGCACGTGTGTGTGTGTGTGTGTGTGTGTGTGTGTTAAGAAAATATGTGAGTGTGGAGTAACTCTTTAAAGAGAATGTTGGAGAGAAGTTAGGGAGAAGTGGAGAAGGGGCCCAAAGGATTCAAGTTCAGGAGCTTTCTGGTTGAGAGGCACATTAGAAGAACCATCTTAGAGTTTCAGCAACTTCCTGGAAAGAGTTGTCACGTGAAGTTCAAGGCTGTGATTCAAGCAGTGACCAGGAAGGACTCGGTGGTCTTGGAGGGGAAGCAAGAAGGTCCTGAAAAGCAACTGAATTTATATTTAAGTGAGACAGCATTGTGTACTTATGATTTTCCTAACCATATAGTTTACACTCTAAGATGATCCACAACTTAGTAAGTGATGTCTTGGTAGAAGAGAGACATTGCAGAAGATTCTGGCCAATGAAAATGGCTTCAGAAGTAGGCTTTTTTTTTTTCTTTTCTTTTTAATGCTAGCTCACATGAACTTTTATTTTGCTTGCATAATCATCTGCCCTCTTATCAAGCCACAGTGTAAGTTCTTTGCCTTTTTATATATCAACGTTAGCCTTTTTTTTTTGCAGATCCAAAGGTCAAAGTACACTGTGGAATTCTCGTGGGTTAGGGAAACCAAGGTGCTCGTTAGAAAGTACACATCAGGTACTCAGCTAAGTGAGGAATACTGCTTTACTAAACCAGATGCTTCACTTTCCAGAGTGGAAAGAAGTTTGTGGGTCCTTGCGGAGGAAGAGATTGCTCAGTGTGCCAGTGCTTTCATGAAAAAGGGTCTCGGGTAAGTGATGTAAAAATCAGCATGGCCAGTGGGAGGGAGATATGGGGAGTTGCTAATCAAAGGGCATAAAGTTTCAGTTGTGCAAGATGAATAAGCCCTAGAGATCTGCTGTACAACATCTTCCTACAATCAACAATGATGTAATGTTCACTTAAAAATTGGGGGAGAGGGTAGATCTCATATTAGGTGTCCTTACCACAATAACATTTTTAAAAAAGATAAACATGGACAGCATACTGAAATTTGAGCCATTGTGAATGCTTAATATTAAGTAGCCCCAGATTCTTAGCATGTTCTGGTAATTGTCAGTGTTTATATGTTTCACAGTTAAAGTTCTGTATATCCTGATAAGAGATCCCAATTATATTACGCTACGTGTCATGCTTGGAAGTGCAAGCCATGATTCGCCCAGTGTTTTCTATGACACTAGTCTTGTGAACTGCTTTATGCAAAAGGGGTCCTCGTGTCAAATGGTCCGTACTGGGTCACCACCATCTTGAAACTCAGGTTGTATATCAGCATTTTAAAGGCTCTGAGAAGTACCGCAGCGAGTGGAGAAAGAAGGCTTGTTTAACCTTATTTAAAGTGGTATATCCGGACATTTGACTACAAGACCCTTTTTTGGATAACGCCTATTGAAATCAAGCGGGATAGTGTTCTATGGTTGAAGTGATAGCTACATTGATTGTGTGCTTCTCATGTGTCAGGCGCTGTTCTGTGTTCTGAAAATGCTTTAGCTCTCTGGCTCCTCGCAACAGCTCTCTTACCATCTCATCATGCCGACTTTGGGGGGCAGAAGATCAAAGCTCAGAGAGTTGCAGTGTCTTGATCAAGTCCACCCGGGATGGCCCTCTGGGTGACTACACAAGATTCTCTGTCCTGCGATGCACAAGAGGCCTCTCGGCTACTGTGTATCAGGTCATTGGAATATTTGTGGACCTCTCCCTTACATTCTGACAGTAGCAGTCGGCAGCCCACTAACTCATTTGGGCTAGAGCATTAGATCAAACAATTCCTTTGACTAAAAATACTCCCACGATCTTACAAGAAAAGAACATGCTTCAGAAACTTCAGATGGTTTTTTTGGAGTCAGATCAATGATTCTGTTGGAACGAGTCCACATCGATCCTATAGGGCGTGATGCTCAAAAAGCACAATTCAGTAAAGATCAGTCTACAAGGACGCAAAACATCTCCTAAAAGAAGGGACCGTGTATTTTCCCCATAGCTTCACTTTATCTGCACACAATACATGTGCAATCTGCCAGAGGCCCCTCTGTTCGGCTCTCTCCCTGAAGGCAGCTACCTTATTGAGCTTCTGCTATGGCAAGTCCCTTTCTGCTTAAGCTGCTTTGTTTCTTTAGTACTTCAAAAACTTTGGTGCTCAGAATTTATCTTGAGCTTTTTTAAGCTGCCTTCATGATATAATTTAAAAACAAAAGGGGCAACCTTCTAGTTTTAAAATAGTAAGTCCTGGGAATGTACTGCAGAGCATGGTGACTATAGTTCATAATACTGTTTTGTATATTAGAAAGTTGCTGAGAGTAGATCTTAATAGTTCTCATCCCAAGAGAAAGAAAACCAGTAGTTTGTGTGATGATAGATGCTAACGAAACAATTCGTGGTCATCGTTTTGCAATATACACACATAACAGATTTTGATGCTGTATACCTGAAACTAACATGGTGTTATGTGTCAATCATATCTCAATAAAAATTCTTTTAAAAAGTAAGGATGCCTAAAGCTAGCAATCTAAGAAGTGCTTTAACTTTTTTTTATATAAATGTACACATTATTCAGGGGGGAAAAGCCTGGCCTCTGTGTGAATTTTTTTAATATAAACATACCAAGATCGTATAAATGAGAAGGAAAAGAAACCAGTGCATCTAAATATTAAGACCCTTTGAGTTTAAGACCCAAGAAAAATGGATCGATCAGCTTTGTGAGAGGAAGGGGATGGGGGCACCACAAAACAAAGAGGAACAGTTGCTTGGGTAAAGCTCTGATTTAAATGAGGCTGAGAGTCATTTTTAGTGGGGACATTGGGCGATGTCTAGAGACGTGTTTCTGGCCATCACAGCTGGGTGGCGGGGGCGCTCTTGGTGTCTAGGGGCTACAGGCCAGGGGAGGTGCTCAGCACCTACCATGCACTGGCCGCCCCCACACCATAAACTTACTGGTCTCCAAAAGCCAACCGTGCTGAGGTCGGGAAACCCTGCTCTAATCCCACCACAGCTCTGAGGCTGCTGCGACAAATACCGTCCTCTTTCCATACAAGGAACCTGAATTTCCAATTGCTAGTGTGTGGAAGAGGCGGGAGCCTCACCCTGGTATCGGACTTCAGTTTCAGCGTTTGGCCCACCTTCACGAGAAGATGACGTCACTCAGATTGGAACACCAGCCTTTCGTCCTAACTTTGTGGACTCGGGTGCGCACCCGAGCCTCGGCTTGCTCGTATTTACACCATGAGTCCTTTCTGTCCTGTTTCCTGGGGTGTGTGTTCGGCAGTCACAAGCAATGCACCTTGCGTCCCATAGCGCAGTGTCGGGTGCCAGGGGTGGCGAGGGCTCAGGGGCTGGGCCGCACTCTGCCGTCGGTGTCCCTGTTCCTGGGTGGTCAGCGAGGGCAGAATGCACGACACCCGTCCACCTCTGCCCTTTCGGAGACAGAGGGCTCCCACGCGAAGGCTGCGAGTTGCCGGCAGCGATTTCGATCTCGGGCCGGGAGTTGGGGAGCTCGGCTTGTGCAGAACTGGGAGGTGGGGTGGGGGGTGGGTGCTCGCAAGTGCTCAGCAGCCGGCCAACTCACATACCATCTCTGGGGCTGCAGTGACAGCTCAAGGGGGACTGGAGAAACAGGGCTATGCCGAATCCCGCAGGGTCGAGGAGCCTGTGAGTGGCACAGGCAGGCATTCCTCAGAAGGAAATGACTCCCCTTTTAGGGGTGAATGCCTGAGTGAATAGTTCAAGCCCGTGTCTGCAGCAACTGCTGGGAAGCCAGGCCGGTGCCGCGCCCCTGGAAGGACTGGGGTTAGGGTTGGAACTGGGGACCCGCGCGGGAGTTTGAGGTGGCGCTGGGGTGTGTCGAAGGCAGGGAACCCAGGACGGGTGCCTTCAGTTCTGACAGTGAAGTTCAGCCGCATCGGTGGACTCTGGAGGCCCCGGTCTAGCTTCCCCGCGTGTTTCCACCAGCGACCCCTGCTGCTTCCCCTTGGCCGCCCCCCCCCCCCCCCCGCCCGCCAAGCTGCATCGGTTGCACCGCTCACTCTCCCTTGGGCATAATCTCACCCGCCTACCCTTTTCCGGCCTGTCTTCCCACTTGCACTCAGCCTCTGTCTTTCCTGCCCTCCCCAGGGGAGCTCGGTGGAGACCCCAGCCCTCCCAAGGCGTCCCCTCCAACTCCTCCCAGCCAGTGCCAATGCCCCTATTGGGGACCCCGTTCCCTTCCCTCGTACTGCTCATACCCGGGCCTGTAGGTCTGTTTGGGTGTGAGCGTGGATGCCCCTGACCCTCTTGCTGAGATCGTAAGCATGCGCTCCTTCAAGGTGCTTGTATGGACACATATACAATGTTGATGTTGGCTCCAGGCCCACAGTGGACACTCTAGAATCGAAGCTGCTTACTTGTGTTTGATCCCTTAAGAACTGGGGGTCCATTTCTTGTACTACTTCGAGATGATCACAGTAGATGGCACATAAAAGGCTCTTAGTCATGAATCAATACATTAAAACCAGACTCCAGCCTGGGCAGGGTTGGGAGCCTGGAGCGTGCCTGCAGGGACACCTACCATATCTGCAGGGGGGAACAGAGTTAGCAGGGAGCCCCTCACTTCCGTCCTCCCCCCACCCCCACACACACATCGTTTAAACCTGTTATTAAACGCATAATCTCAAGTACATTCAAATTCCCCTGTGGCGGGACGCCTGGGTGTCTCAGTCGGTTAAGCCCTTTGCCTTCGGCTCAGGTCATGATCCCGGGGTCCTGGGATCGAGTCCCTCATCGAGCTCCCTGCTCAGTGGGGAGCCTGCTTCTCCCTCTGCCTTTGCCCCTCCCCCTGCTTGTGCTCTCTCTCAAAATAAATAAATAAAATCTTTAAAAAATATTCCCTTGTGGCTTCAGGTAGGGCCAGAAATAAGTACTTAGAGCAGTGGCAGCAATCAGGACCCTTTAGCTCCAGGTAGAGGGTGGGAGATTGGAACGCCTGTGGCTTCTTTCGGGTTCAGAGTCTCAGCTGGGAAGTAAGGGTCTGTACTATGGGGCTGGTCCTGTCCCTCCAGGCCCTAACAGCTTCAGGTTCTGTGATGTGGGCATGGCCTTTTACATATAACAGCTATATAATGGGCTTCCAAAATATTTTGCAACGATGCCCTAACATCTCCCCTAACCTCATGGTGGTCCCTCTTTAAGGATATGAATGAGGTGGCATTGGGCAAGATTTTAAAGTTTTCTTCACTAATTTCAGTGGAGGAATCTTCATGTTTTTGATGGCTGCCTCTATGCAGGGAAAATTGTGTGTCTTTATAGACTAGGATGGGACCTTTTATAAGTTCCACTTTAGTAACTAGCAGGATACTAAAGACACTTTCTACAGCTTTTTCCAGAATAAAAAATATATATCCATATTGTTTTTCATTCAAGGGAGTCTAGCAGCTGTTGAACTGTTAACTGTTGTATTAAGAACTTTATAATTTGGTGGTTTTTATACAAGGGGTCAAATAACTTAAAACTCAAGACCTGTCTTAGTTTTTGTGGTTTGAAAGCTAAAATCACACATTAGCAAATCAGTGGTTCATGTGGGAATTTTAAATCATTAAAAAATGTACAAGTATTTTTCCCCACAATCTCATTCATTTGTCCCTCACACTCCTAAGAGCCTGCATTCCATGATAAAAATGGAATTTGCTTGGGGATTTTAATTATTAACATTTTTCACCATTAAATTATTTGCACACAAAGTTCTAGAACTCTATCCCTCACACAGCTGTATTCTAGTACACTCTA